AAATTTGCACACACACACACGCATACCCGCACACGCACTATTTCTCTCGCATACATGCACTCACACACACACACACACACACACACACTTGCACACCACACAGTTACGGACACACGAGACGAGTGCTTTGCGCTGAACGAAGACGGCACGGATGTCATCACAAACGCTGGCGGATGCAGCACGACGGTCAAGCTTGCCATCAAGGTGCTGAAACGCAGCGTCTGCGAGTGTCTGCTTCCTATACAGCACTGCCAACACACACACACACACACCCATGCACGCACACGAACGCACACGCACACGAACGCACACGCACACGACCACACGCACACGAACGCACACGCACACGACCACACGCACACACACACACAGACACACACACACACACACACTCGAACATTCACACCAACATACACCCCAACATTCACTCTCCCAACTCTCACACATTCATCAACACAATCTCACATTGCTCCCCCTCCACCCCCCTCCTCCTCCCCTCTATCCCCTTGCTTAACAGATTGCCGTGTTCATTGGCTGCCCATCACACCAGAGCATCTACTTGCAGCCCGAGCTTAATGAAGAGAACGTGACTTGGACCCCTCCACGGCTGCCAGGCTTCTTCTCCTCCCTCGTTGTACGCAACAACACGCCTGCGCTCCCCGTGGCTCTGGGCGAAGGCGTACACACCATCACCTATTCTGCGGGACCCTTGAACGTCGGCGGCTACTTGCTGTGCGAGTTTGACATTTCGCTGCGCTATGGCTTCTCCATCTTGGTCGAGTCGCTGGGACACGTGGCGACGGGTCCGCTCCTGCAGGACTTCCTGCTCGCCGACAACACCATTGTGGACGGTGTTGCACGCCCACGCCGCTTCAGGGGCGACGTCGTCGCACGTCCGTTGGCGATTGGACTCGTCTCAAAGCCAGGGAAGCCCTTCACCGTGTTTGCGCGCAACGGCGTGGAGGGTCGCATCGTCGTGCAGCTGCAATGGTGCACGCACGGCACCCTGCCCGCAACCACATCCGCGTTTGCCAACGGCTCGGTTGCCGTCACACTGCTGCAGCCCAGCAGCAAGGCCACGGCGGCTGCACTTGTGTTCACGGATCACGGCTCGGGCGTGACGCAGGATGCACGCTGCTTGCGAATTGCAGTCGAGTCGTCTCACATCCGCGGCACGCTCTCCTTCGCGGGCATTGACATGACGTTTACCCACACATCCATGGCCAACCGGACCCGCCGGTCCTCCTCCCCTGCCCCGCCATCCGTGACCATTCGCGACTATTCCCCTCATGGCCGCAACTTTGTGGCGGTGCAGTTTGGCAATGGCGACGGGTCGCCGCTTGCAGAAGACAGCGGGCCGTTCCTCTCACAGGAGGACACGATTGCGCCACGCTGGCTCAACTGCCCAACAGCGCCCATTGTAGCGCATGCGCAGCCTGGCCAGGCGACAGCCGTTGCCACATGGGAAGAGCTTGTACCGGTGGACAATGTGGAGGTGGTGGACGTGCAGTCATCGCACACCTCCGGCGACTACTTCTCTGTTGTACACTCGCCGCACACGGTCACGTTCACGGCATCGGACGGCCAGCTCAGCACCACATGTGCGTTTGACGTGGAGGTGACGTTTGATCCCATCACCACCGCCGTCGTCGCCACCACAAGCGCGGAGTTCTCCGTGTCACACGAGGTGTTGCCACTGCTGCACACGCAGACGTACACGCACTACCTGGTTGGCGGGACAAACGATACCGCACTGGCAACATTCAGGCTGGACGCCAAGCTTGTCACTGCCATCAAGTTTGTTGTACTGCCGCCGCCCGGCGAGCGCTTCTTCGTGCGCACCGTGCCGACGGCTGATCGTGGACAGCTTGTTGTGGACCTTGTGTTTTCGCTTGCAAGCACGAGCCCCATCGATGCAGATGCCCTGATCTACGACGACGACGCCATTGTTGCATATGAGCTGGGGGAGTTTGCGCTCGACACAACGCCTGCAGCGGACGGGCTGGACGACAATGAACAGCAAGACTCACTCTCACCGACAGGCACAATCACCGGTGCACGTGTGCACATCGACGCGGCGGGTGGCGTTGTCGTCGTGCGCGGGACGGCGCCGGACACTTTCAAGCGCGGATTCTCATTTGCGTCCCTGACGCTGCAGGTATCATTTCCGCTCGGTCGCAACTTTACCTCCCTCGCAGACGGCTCTGCCGCCATCGATACGGGAGAAACTTCGACCACCGCCGTACCGCCGCCACCCGCCAATACAACAGCAGCGACAACAACAACAGCAACACTGTTGAACGGCACGACCATGGCTTCGGCAGTAACAGCACCACCGACAACAGCGCCAGCAGCCACTGGCGGTGGTGTGCATGCAAATGCGACCACAAGCACAACACAGCCCACTTCAACAGCAGCGACCACTGGTGGTGGTGGTAGCGATGGCAACGATGACACTGGTGATGGGGTATTTGTCACGAAACCCTTCGCAATGCAGGCGGGCTCATTTCTTGGGTTCAAGCTGTCCTTTGCCGTGGACGATGCAGACGACCACAGCGGATTTCTTTCCCTGCTGGACACGCAGGCGCCGTTTTTCCGCCGCTGCCCCTTCAGTCTCCACCGCGACATTGACGTGGTGCTGGCCACTGTCCCCAGAGAACCGCATGCCATCGCCAACTGGACGCTGCCCGTTGTTGACGACAACCGCGGGCGTGACCAGCTCACCCTGACGTCCAATGTGCCTGCTGGCGGCGTGTTTGCACTGCAGGCACCGGGCGATGCGCCATACTCGGTCCAATACGATGTGAAAGACCTCACTGGCAACACGGCCACGTGCGACTTTTTCGTTGCTGTGCGTGACTTTGAGGCGCCGCGTGTGGTTGTGGTGGACGATGTGGTGGTCACACTTCCGTCTGCGCCATACTCCCCTGGGCACGCCGTGCTGGCCACGGTGACGCCAGAACAGGTGCGAGCCGCCACCAACACCACGGACAACAGCGGCGCATTCACGTGGACGGCGCCCGCCACGGCCCTCTCCCTGGGCACGGGCGAGACTGACGTGATGGTGGAAGCAGAGGACGAGTGGGGGAACAAGGGCAGCGCTGTGGTGCGTGTGCGTGTCCTTGACACCACACCGCCCACGCTGTTCTGCAATGACCCTTCCCCTGTGGTGACGCCCGGCGTGCAAGCGGAGGCAGCGGTGGTGAACTTCACTGCGCCATCGTATGTGGACAACGTTCCCACAGCGGCCACCCTGACATACTCGCATGCGCCAGGAAGCCTGTTTCCTGTCGGCACGACACACGTGAACGTGACGGCAACAGATGCCAGCGGCAACGCCGCATTGTGCGTGCTGGCAGTGGAGGTGATCCCCTTCCAGGCTGCCACGGCCCCGGACAACTCCAACATTGTGGCGGGCGCCTCTGGCGGTGGCGCCTTCCTGCTTGTGCTGCTCGCTGTGTTTGCCGCGCTGTACTACCGGCAGCGCAGACGCTCGCGGCGCCCGCAGAACTGGGACGAAATCTTCGAGATGATTGAGCAGTTCAAGGGGCGGAAAGACGGCAGCGACGGGCCCGTGGTGCCGCGCGAGCTGAACCGCGCCAACATCAAGCTGCTGGAGGAGCTTGGCAAGGGCGCGTTTGGCATCGTGTACAAAGGCCTGCTGACGGAGGCACCGATCCCGGGCTATCTCGTGGCGTGCAAGAGCCTACACGCCAAGGCAACCGCTTCCGAGCGCATCGAGTTGATGGAGGAGGCAGCCGTGGTGGCGCAGTTTGACCACCCAAACGTGCTGCAACTCATCGGCGTTGTGTCTGTGGGCAAGCCCGTGCTGGTGGTGCTGGAGTTTATGGAGTACGGCAGCTTGCGCTCGTATGTGCAAGACAACGACGTGGACGAGGCCACGCGGCTGTTGTTCGCTGGCGACTGCGCCGAGGGCCTCAACCACGTGCACAGCAAAGGGTTTGTGCATCGTGACATTGCTGCGCGCAACATCCTCGTCTCCAGCGAGCGGCGGTGCAAGGTTGCAGATTTTGGGCTGGCGCGCGACACGGAGGAGAGTGACTACTATCGCTCACGTGGCGGCCAGCTTCCCGTTCGCTGGTCCGCGCCCGAGGCCCTCGAGGATCGCAAGGTCAGCACAAGAGGAAGTAATGGGTCGGGGATGTTGGGGTGTTGGGGGAGAGAAAGGAATCGGATGCCCTTGGATTGAGCTGTACGCGTTATGTTTGTGTGTGTGTGTGTGTGTATGCGTGTGTTTGTGTGTGTGTGCGTGTGTGTGTGTGTGTGCGTGTGTGTGTGTGTGTGTGTGTCCCTCACGCTTGTTGCGGTACCTGCTTGTGTTTCCTTTTCTACAGTTCACGCGGGCGACCGATGTTTGGTCCTTTGGAATTTTGTGTCACGAGATCTGGACACGCGGCAAGATGCCGTATGACGGCTGGTTTTCTACAGTTCACGCGGGCGACCGATGTTTGGTCCTTTGGAATTTTGTGTCACGAGATCTGGACACGCGGCAAGATGCCGTATGACGGCTGGGGAAACCAGAAGGTGCGCTTGTCACAGGAAGATGGTGGCTTCAGTGGAAGCAGCTTGACACACACACACACACACATACACACACACGCACACACACACACACGCACAACACTCGCACGCACACACTGCCGTACACTTGAGACCGATTGTGTCAGTGTTCATTCACGCTGTTTTGTTTTGCGTGCATGCATGCAGGTCTGGGTGATGGTGTGCGACGGGTACCGCCTGCCCAAGGCCGAGACGTGCCGTGATGTTGTGTATGAGCAGCTGCTGGCGTGCTGGCACGCTGAGGCAGAGAGGCGGCCGAGTCTTGCTGATCTGGCGGCCTTCTTCCGCGATGAGTACGAGGCCTACACCGGCGAGTCGTTGCAGCCCAAAGACGAATACCTGGCCATCGGCGACACCCCACACAGCGGCACAAAGAAGCCGCGCAGATCCCTCAGTGGGACACTTGGGACGTTCCTTGGTGGCCTGCGCAGGCGATCGTCCAAGGACGGAAACCTCGTCATCAACCCCCTCTACCACGTGAGTGCAAGTGTGTGTCAGCATGTGTGTGTGTGTGTGTGTGTGTGTGTGTGTGTGTGTAAGTGTGTAAGTATGTCCACATACTTTTTTGTGTGTGTTTGTGTGTGTGTGTGTGTGTGTGTGTGTGTGGAAGAGAGTACACGTCCACAAGTGTTGTTGATTTTGTGTCTGCGTACAAACATGTCATCGCTTGTGAGCTCATTTCCATGCGTTCACCCTTACACACACTCACTAACTCGACCACGTTCCCATGCAGGATGATGAGATGGCGGATCTTGCGGAGGACGAAAGCGAGGACCGGGAAGCACTGCAGCTGTACGACATGGGCGACAATGGTGATGATGCAGCCGTGTGCGCAGGAAGTGAACGGAACGGTGATGCTGGACGGGGCGAAGCAATGCAGTTGTATGACATGGGCGACGGCGATGGCGACGATGGAGCCGTCGCGCGAACAGAGTTCACCACAAACGCAACCAGCAGCCGCAGCCAGAGTGATGGCGACAGTGATGGTGAAGCAGAAGAACAACAAGGAGATGACAATGCAGACGATACAGTGACATTCACGCTAGATGAGCTCGAGGCAGTGGATGATGACACGGCTTTTGGGTTTGGCGACGTCAACACCGACACAGACTTTGCCGAGGACGACTGCCTGCAGCTGTACGGCAACGTTGACACGCAGCAGCCATGCACTAGCGATCACGGCGAGGGCACTTGTGCGATTACGTCCAAGGACCTCGGGCGCCGTGTCCGCGTGCAAGGATACGAGTGCCTGGGCACCATCGCGTTTGTCGGCAAGCACCACGCAAAGGGGTCTGATCGCGTGGGTGTGGCCCTGGATCTGCCCCATGGCCGAAACAACGGCACGGTCGGTGGCGTGACCTACTTCTCATGCGAGTCCAACAAAGGCATTCTCTGCGTCCCAACAAAGGTGTCCTTGGTGGATTGATGCACGATGGACGGAATGCGTGCGTGTGTGTGTGTATGTGTGTGTGTGTGTGTGTGTGTGTGTGTGTGTGTGTGTGTGTTTGTGCCTGAAAAGGCACCGACGTTGGTCCGTGAGTTGCGGCATGACTTGCCTTCGTGCGCTTGAAATGTTCACGTGAGCCCCATTATTTTGAGTTCATGTGCGATGGCCCAGAATTGCGTTGGCTGCCACGTTCGATTAGCGTTCCCAGGTTTTGCTTCGTTCGGTCATGTTACAGTTAGCTTTCCCGTCGCGTTTGGCTTCTTGCGTTTTTCGGTAGCCGCGTTTGCTTAGTTTCCTTCTTGCAGTTCCTCGTAGTGTCGTGAGTGCCGTCCCCCTTGCGCATCGCTGCTGGCTCAGTGCTGTCATGCGGGGTCAGTCGCATTTTGCTCAGTAAAGCCGAAACAGCTGATGATTGAAGGTGGTGCGTTTACAATGGAAAGTGTGTTCTCCCAGAAACACAACCCACAATCCACACAAACACACACACATGCACACCACACAACACAGCGCAGTGTTCCTTCCTCCTATTGCTTGCAGTGGTGGTGATTCCACTTTGCATGTTCAATCGTTTTCCAACAACAATGCATGGGGACAGAGCATCGACATGAAGAGACGACAACAGCCCTCACACGGGCACACAGTCAACACCAACACGCACATGTCCCACAGCTTCACCTTCGATCCAAGCAAGAGAGGAAAGCAGAAACAGAGCACAGCACTGCTCAAGATACCAGCAGCATCGCATGGTGCCACTTGCAGTGCAGCCAAACAGCCAAGTGCAACGTGGCCTGCACCAACAACAACAACAAGGGCGCAGTCATCCACCAGCCACCACTGTGTGTCAGGGTACTGCAGGGCAAAGAAGACACACAAAGCGGGTCAGTGCTGTACTTGAACGCCTTGCACCAGTCCATCAAGCAAGTCCCTCCAGTGTCAGCTGCACTTGGTTGCCGTCCTTGTTAGCTGGTGGTGCTGGTGTCGTTTGCACCGTGTGCCGTGGATGGCCTGTGTGATGAAGCAGAACGCATCCAGCAGCACCACGATGGTGTCAGGTGAAAGAAGTCGACGCTGTCGCGCACATCCATCAAGCCTGCTTGTGTGGTTCACGAGACAAGTCCACGCACGCGCAAGTCAGTACCAGCAAGAGTGAGTGACGGAGGTGTGTATGTGTGTGTGTGTGTGCGGGCATCACAGCAGGTGATGTGGAGAACACCACGAGGGAGCTGCAAGCGTGCCATCACATGGAAGCAAACCATCATCAGCCGCAACACACACGCATGGACTCACTCACAAGCAGCGATGACGCTGCCGCTGCCACTTGCCACTGCCATGGTCTCCTCATGCATCGACAATGCCGTCGTCAGCCAGTGAGCCCGCTAGCCAGCCAGCTTTCAGTCAGGAACGGAGTGTCCAACATCGTCGTAGGGGCAGCAGGCTAAGGAGGATCTTGCATGGTTCTTCTCATGCGATTCACACCACCACCACCTCCTTGTCCGTCTCAGCCCATGCTGCTGCTGCTGGTGCTGCTTTGGTGGCGAGCAAAGAGAAGGAGGCAGCCATTCATTCGGGGTTGCCACCACGTCGGCTAGCGTTGGCACCACCGCTGATCCATGCATGGAGTGCAATGGTGGCTGATGGTTGGTTGGTTGAGTGAGATTTGAGTGTGTGTTGGAGAAGGAAGGATGGAACACGGGCTGAGGTGGAGGAAGGAGGAAGGAAGGAAGGGAAATGGTGCTGTGGGTGTTGGCGGTTGTGCAGTCACACCAGTCAGTCAGTCAGTCAGTGGGAGAGAAGGAAGAGAGAGAGAGAAGGGAAGAAAGATGTGGTGCACACTTCTGCACTTGACATGGAGCAGCGCTCTCACCAGAGCAGAGAGAGGAGGGGAGAAGGGGAGGTAAGAGGGGAGAGGAGAGAGGGGAGAGGAGGCATTGCAGCACAATCAACTCGTCCACTGGCTGGTTGGCTGGTTTGTCGAGAGTGGTGGTTGTGGTTGTGTGCAGACAGCAAGAAGCAAGAAGGGAAAAACAAACAAAGGAGAAGGACAGCTGGCTGGCTGCTTTGTGGAGGAAGATATGGGGAGTTTTCGTGGCTGGCGAGAGAGGAATGGTGGAAGTCTTGATGTACTTTTCGCCAAGCCACGAGAACGACAAAGCAGAAAGCTGGCGCGTCCGCTCCATTTTGCGTCGCCAGCCACAACAAGCAAGCAAGCAAAGGAGCCAGTGGACAGCAGCCACGTTCGGACACGCACACACACACACACACACACACACACACACACACACACACACACACACACGCACACACACACACACACACACACAAAGCAAGGCAGAGAGTGTGGAACAAGAACCTCCTGCCACCTCGAGCGACAACTCAGAGCTCAGCAGCACGAGCACAGTGGGCATCAGCCATGGCTGGCGGAGAGAAGCGGGCGAGGAAGGAGGTGGAAGCCTTGCTGGCGCAGTCGGACTTGGAGGATGAGGCAAACGACACGATAAGGACCATCGCCAACAACACGTGCGGGGACGTTGTGAGGTGAGTGTAAACAAGTGAAGTGACAGTTTAGCACATGTGTGTGTGTTTGTGTGTTGGACGAAGAAAAACGCAGGACACCCGCTTGCTTGTGCTTGTTATCCCTCGCTTGCAGGCTGGCTTGTCCGCTCCTCGAAGGCTTGCTGTGTCTTGCTTCTGCTTGGCGCGTTTGTGCACTCGCCTGCGCGTCCAATTGCACAACCCAAACACACAAACACAGAGCGTGCTACTGACAGACAGTAATCGACGCCCTCGTGTCTCTCACAACTTCCTAACTCCCTGGCTCATGACGACCAATCAACAATTGCAGCTTGGGTTTCGAAGGGCTCGGCGTTGATGGTGCGCGTGCAGTGGCCGAGGCGCTCAGGCACAACACCTGTCTCAAGATTCTCGAGTAAGTGGTGGTGTCGATGGCATGGTGTAACAGGATAGGCTGGTAGATTGGTGCTACACGCCCGATTTCTCCTCATTCTAATCTTCGCTTTTTGCACATTTCGGGCGTGCTCGCCCTTGCACTTTGGCTCCCGTGTATGCACAGCCTGATTGGTAGCGCCATTGCCGAGAAAGGCGCCGTGGCACTGGCGAAGATTCTTAAGCACGACGCAACACTCAAAGAACTCATGTGAGCTTGGATGTCAATGCGGTAAAGGCGCCGCTTGCTTGAGAATACGATTGTGTGGGAGGTGGTGAAGGTAAAACTCTTCTTTGGCAACCACTGTGCTTTTGCCCCAGTCATTGCTGCTCACAATCTTGTGCGCCGGCATGGAACACCACTCGTGCCTGTCTCCTCTCTTTGTTTGGATTGACAGCCTGCGGAAGAACGCCATCTGCAATGACGGCGCAAGGGCATTGGCGCTGATGCTGAAGCACAACTCAACCCTCACAAGTCTCGAGTGAGTGTGGGCACACACAAATCCATTGAAGGCACCTGCTTTGGCGTGCGTTCACGCATGTGTTCAAGTGCACTGACTGCTGGCCATGTACCATGCTTACCGTCAGCGCACCCCCCTTCTGCGTGTTGACTGTCTTTCATCCTTACCTTTCCCTGGCAATGCTTTTAGCCTGAGCCACAACTCCATCAGCGACCATGGCGCTGAGGAATTGGGACAGATGCTTCAGCACAACACATCCCTCAAAGAACTTGAGTAAGTGGCAGACACGTGCTTTCAAGCCATACATTTATTCGTGCATCTCGAGGCTGCTCGTGTGTGCACTTGTGCAGGCCAGGCATAGTACACACTGCTTGTTACTCGTCGCGCGTGTCACTCTCCCAGTGCTCTCAAAGCTGCCATCAATTAACACCCCCTCTCTCTTTTGCTTTCCTTGACAGCCTGAATAACAACCGCATCAGCGACGTGGGCGCTGAAGTATTGGCGGAGATGCTGAAGCACAACACAGCCATCAGGAATCTGGAGTGAGTGTAGATCTAGAAATTTAAAGATACCCACATAGATATATACATCGATGTATATATGTATGCATATGCGCTCTGCAAAGACACCCGATTTCACCGTGTGGTTTGGTTTGGCGTGCATGCACCTGCACAGCAAGCCAGTCGCTGCTGTCCACAAATTTTGCTTGTCGCCACTCAACACATCCCCTTCCACATGCACATTACCATCAACTCCTGCTCGCCTTCTGTGTGGGATGCCAGCCTGCGAAAGAATTCCATCGGCTTCAACGGCGTCGCGGCTTTGGTGGTCATGTTGAAACACAACATGACAATCACGAATCTCAAGTGAGTGTGGAGACACAGGAAACGACTGACACTGCATGCACCAACAAACCGCACCTCCGCCACATGTGTTACTCAGCTGCCTTTCTGGTTATGTCTTCTTTTTGGCTTGTTGGTAAGCTCCTCACATACATCACCATGTCACCAAACAGCCTTTCAGAGCATTGTCTCACGGAACGCGAAGTGTTGGGTGTACTCGAGCTTCTACAGTACGTCCACACAAAAGCAAAGATTCGGTGAGTTGATGAAATTGTTTCTCTCCTCACAACAGATAACACGTCACCGACTTCTCTTCCAGCTCACATACCCTTCTTTGCCTCCAAGGTTGTGCAAGCCCGTCCTCAAGTCTTCGACTGCGGTCGCCCGTGCCCTGGCTACGCTCCACACAAAGCGGCCAGACATCCTCGTGCATATTTTGTAAGTCACAGCGACATGTGTGTGGACTGTCTTGTGTTTGCGAAGGAGTTGGCTCACTTTTTTTCACATGACCTTGCGACTGTATGACGCGCGATGTCTTTCTTGCGGGTGTTTTTCGATGGGAGACAGCTTTGACCCAACTGCAAAGACCGCTTACCAGGAACAGATTCAACTGCTCAAATCACTACAGCCCGGCCCAATTCCTCTTGAGACAGCAAAGGTGTTTATGTGCGGCGATTACGGCATTGGCAAAACGACCATGATCGAGTCGCTGGCTGGAAGCTATTTTCGCCAATTGCTGTTTGCGGCCTGGCAACCACGTGACGATCCAGACCGTCCAAATGAGCGTACACCCGGAATCCGGGTTTGTGAAATGAAACTCCAAGACACCACAAGCCACACCAGCGATGAAGTCGCTTCCTTGCGTGTCTACGACTTTGGAGGACAGTGGGCCTATCACGTCATTCACACCCTGATGATGTCTGATCGATTTGCCGCCTTTGTCGTTTGCGTCGACCTCTCCCAGCCTGAACAGCACGTGAAGGAACACGTCAACTACTGGCTTCGTTTCATCTGCACAAGACTCCAGCAAGGTGTAGCAGCTGCCACCGCAACCGCAGATGGAGACGGGATAGAAAACACGAAGCCGCGTGTTCTCATCGTTGGAACGAAGAGGGACCTTGCCTTCCAGAAGACCCTTGTGGATGAACGTGGACAGCCCCCTTGGGGTGCAGCAATGGTCGCCCATCTGAAGAGAACGTTCGGCGGCATCGTTGACATCCAAGATCCCCTCATCTCACTCAACTGTTATCAAAGTGGTGAGGCCGGATTTATTGAGCTCCGGGCACAACTTTTTCAACACTGGTGTCAGCTGAAGGAACGCAAGCTTGTCGTCCCCAGAGTCGTGGATCTGCTTGCCACAACCCTCCAATCAGCCCGGAAAGAGAAACCAGCGTGGACCATTGATGCCCTCTTTCAGTTTACCCTAACACATGCCCCTGGACTCGGTTTGACCTCCTTTGGCATGCCAACGTTTTATTCTGCGTTGAGGTACTCTTGAAACGCCTTGCTCATTTGTCATCCATGTTGTGCAAACAGTTCACTGACTTCAGTGCAAATGCTAGAATTCTGACACATCCGCTGCCCCTGTTACCTATGCTTCTCACACATGTTCGCAGGTACCTCCACGCACGCGGCGATTTGCTGTGGTACTCGAACAACCCCTCCTTGCAGGATTCTGTCTTCGTCGACCCCAACTGGCTGCTTCATGACGTGCTGGGGAGAGCACTGACGCCGGATGGCGTGCAGCAAGGCTCCATCACCACGAAAGGTGTCGTAACATTCACGGACCTGGAAACCGCATTTGATGGCGTCGCCAGCGCAGACCTCGTCATCAACGTGCTGCAGCACACGCTCCTCTGCTTCGAGCTGTCGCCTTCTGACGATGGGCAACGGCGATTCATGCTGCCGAGCCGCGTTGAGGAGGAGGTCGATCTCGCAACCGCCTGGTCACGAAGCAAGTGGCCGCTCTACGCCGGACGACGGCTGGTGGTCGAGAACCACGCGCTTGCGCTGCCACCTGGCTTCTTTCCGCACGTGCAGACACTGCTGCACAAATCGTTTGGGGCAACACTGAAGGTGTGGCAAGATGCCTTCTTCTGCAAGCGCGATGGCGTGCAATGCCTTGGACTTCTGCGAGATGATCGAGAAGTGGACGTGTGGGTTCGCGCATCCGCTGGTGCAGAGTGCAGCGCTTGGAGCTGCATGATGGAGGTAAGGACGAACAGATGTGCGTGAATTGACGCGCATATGTGTGCATGCGTGTCTTGCCAATGTGGTGGGTTGTAGCTGAATCTGCGTTTGTCTTCACAGCGATTTCCTTCTTCCTTTCACGTCCGTTTGCTTTCACAAACCACCACAGATCGTCTCCTTCCTGCAAGAAGATGCGAGCGGCATCGACCACGTCCAACACGTCCTCAGCGTGAATCACTTGCAGCAGCACCACGATTACCCCGCCAGCCGCCCCATCACAGACCTGGAGGACCTCGCCTTGCATGACCTCGTCGACTTCGCAGACGACGACAATCCACCCACGCGACTCGGGGATCTGCTCGTACATAACCCCATCCTGACAGCACGCTGGCACCAACCTGGGCACGAGTGGCACCACCCTCGTTGGCGACTTGATGACAGCTTCGACCGCTCGTTGCAGTGGACTGGACCTGGCGCTCACGGCGTGTACTCTGTATCTCTTCCGCCAGACACAGACCTGTACCGATGGATAGAGAGCCAGATGACGTCGGGCCTCACCCTGTCGCGCGTGGAGATGACCAAGTCCACCACGATGCTGCGTGCCTTTCAGACGCAAGTCCAGCGGTCAGCGACGCGTCGTGGTGACACTGAGCCGTCAAATCCCTTCAACCAAGACTTTGGAGCTAGTGACCCGGAGAAGCGCGCCATGCTTGACCGGCTCAAGACGCAGTTTGCACGAACACCCGGTGGCGTGAACCATGTCAACGTCCTCGTTGCCTGGCACGGCTGCGACGAGGCTGTCGCTGGCAGCATCAGTGCGTGCGGGGCAGCGAACTTTAGCAGCCCGGGCGACCGTGGCTTCTTTGGGTCTGGTATCTACCTCACACCACAGGCAAGCTATGCCGCAGGCTACTCGACACGCCTGCTCACTGGAGGTTGGCGTCCACCCAACGCAGATGGTGAGCACGTGTTGTTGTTGTGCGCTTCCAGCGTTGGCCTGGCGTACCCGATCACCCGAGCCGCAGATTACCCTCATGGCTCGAATGAATGCTCCTACTACGGGAAGCCTTTTGATGAAAGCCAGGACACGCACTATGTCCAGGTGACACGCACCACCAACTTCCAGGCCACCCGCACCGCGGGCACGTTTGACTTTGAGGAATACGTCTTCTCGCAAGAAGTGCAAGTTCTGCCGTTTGCCAAGGTGTTTGTGAAGGTGCGGAGGGATGAGTTGCGGGCGCACCTGGAATCTCCTCCAAGCATTACGATTCCCGTGGCTCCTGAGACTGCTGGCGATGATGGCGGTGATGACGACGATCAGGACGGTGTAGAGGATGGAGAGGCGGAGTCGAGTGCGTGAATAGCGTGTATGTGTGTATGTGTGTATGTGTGTGATTGCAACACGATAGTTTGTGCCGCGTTCGTTTGCTTCACTGATGGTGCTGTTCGACATTCTGGCTGGTATTCTCCATTGCAACCGTTTTCCTATCACAGTCACGCTGCTGTTACAACTTTGATGTTGAGTTGGCGTGTTGCAGCTCGACGTGTCGCCGCTTGACGTGTTGTTTAAGTTGTTTAAGTTGTTGTTGTTGAAGTTGTTGTTAAAGTTGTTGTTGTTGTTGTTGTTTAAGTTGTTGTTGTTGTTATTGTTGTTTAAGTTGTTGTTGTTGTTATTGTTGTTGTTACTTCTCCTTTCTCCTCTTTTCTCTTGTTTTCTCTTGCTCTCATCTCATGTCTCCACCTCCCCTCTTTGCTCCTTTTGCATGTAAGCACAACTCATTTCTGTTTGTAATGAACTGATGGTTGTCATCAACATGAAACTCAACATCCATCACGCTCATCACATTCATCACAACACAACCACTTGAACTCCCCCATCCCTCACTCGCACCAAAGAAATCATGCAAAGCTGTATCCAAGCCACAACCAAGAACACCAGAACCCTGCATCCTTGCCCCAATTCCCCACTTCCTCATTGCACCAATGCAAGTGGCTTCAAGAACAGGTCCTCACGCAACAAGTTGTCCAGTTCGTCGTGCTGTCGTGTGCGTTGCATAGGTGCACGCAAGGATGCCCGAGCAAACCGTTGCACGCTTTCATCAACGGAAAGATGCCCTCTGATAGACCGTCATAGACTGTGTAATGTAAGTGCCACTCGTGCGCGCCAAGCATCGAGAGTGACATGGCTGAGAACAACCAGCACAAGGCAACAGATTAACTGTGCAACACAGTGCAAATTAACAACACACAAACAAACAATAATGTCATTGACGACACCGTCGCAACGCTCGAGAAGGTTTGTGACTCAGACGTCGGTGGACGTTGGCGCATCAGCAGCGTCACCAAGCTCAGGCGGTGACGGGTGGCGCGTTGAGAGCGGGAAGCCGCTGTCCACGCGGGCGGTACCATCCAGCTTGGCAGCCATGATGGCATCAGTCACGGTTGGTTCAGTGGCGCTTGGTTTAGTCTCGCCCGGTTCCGCCAACCACACGCCCTCCGCAAACAGGGAGGAAACGCTACCGGGCTGGGTGGTGCTTGCAGACTTGGTGCTGCGAGTGTGTCCAAGAGCCACCTCAGCGTCGCGCTTGCCTTCATCGGATGTGTTGGAGAAGTAGCCAGAGGCATCCGCCATCGACAGATCGCCGTGCTGCTGCCGCTGCTGCAACGACAGCTCTTGCTGCTGCTGCTGCCGCCGCTGCTGGTCGTCATTTGGAGTTGTACCAGCTGCCTCATCTGCCTCATTGGCAGGGGCAGTGGTTGGTGTCTCCACCGCAGCGTCATCATCCTCCTCATCCTCCTCGTGCTTCTCCGTCAGTGTCGGCGGGATTGTCACCTGGCTGCTGCTGTTGACGCCTTCGCTGCCGTTGGTGTTGGTGTTGGTGTTGGTGTTGGCGTTGTCAAAGTCAACGCTCGCACGGAGCGACTCCGGGTACATGACCTTGAGCACGTTGGAGATGGACACGTGGCGGTCGCCAAGACCATCGCCGCCGTCACCAGTGGTGGTCTTCTTCTTGCGGCCGAAGCGACCGGCGGATGCAGACTTGGTCCTGCGCATGTATCCTGGCTGCTCCTCGTCAGGCACCTCTGGCAGCGTGATCGTTTCCGTCAGCGTGCGGCGAAGGCGGCCGTTCAGCATCACCTCGTGCACACCGCGCTCAACCACAGTCTGCTCCTGTTGCTGCTGCTGCTGCTGCTGTTGTTGATACTTCTTGCGGGCCACCTCATCGGCAGGAACCTCGCGCTGCATCTCCAGCAGCTGCCGTCGCGCCTCCACCTGCTCGCGCCTTAGTGGCGGCGCTGACGGGTTGGGCTGCGGCTCAACACTACCCGGTGCATCCATGGCGAGGGTTGTGGCCGTCGTGGTGTCAGCATCGGCCTTCTCCTCATCGCCATCACTGGTGTCGTGCTGCTGCTGCTGCTGTTGCTGTTTCTCGTCATCGTTGCTTGTGGTCCTGTTTCTGTTCTCCAGGGCCGCCACCTTCTGCCGTGCTCGCGTAATCACAGACAGATCACCGGCCTCTGCGCTGCTCGCGGTGGCAGCGGTGGTGGACGTCAGTTGGGCTTTGTTGTTTGCACCAGCTGCTTGCTCGGATGTGCCGGCGTCATCACCATCTCCACCGTCACCGTCGTCACCATCAGCTTCGGCCATCTCCTCTGGCAGCTGTGTCTTGCTGTGCTTGGTCTCAATGAGCGCGGCGGTGTCGCTGCTGCTGGCGTGGTCGATGTCGGCTGCAATGAGGAAGTACGTCTGCATCTTGCCCTTGCCCTTGATGTGCATGGCCTTGCGTGGCTCCAGCACCATGTCAGGCGCCTGCTTGGACACCAGCTCAGCCGCAGCCTCAGACATGTGGATGCGGTTCTTCTCGCTGTTGCTTTCCATCCGTGACGCCGTGTTGACCTGGGGTAGTGGTGGTACGGAAGTGGAGGATGTGTTGGTTGACGAGAGTTGGCGTGAGGATGCGTGATGAGAGGGTGGGGACAAGGGGTGGGGAGAGAGCAGGCAAAGAAGGCGTGATACAACAGTGGCAGACACACACACACACAGACAAGCACACACACAAGCACAGACACAGACACACACAGGCAGACACACACTCCCACACACACACATACACACACACACACACAAATTAGCACCCAATGCGCACCGTGTCGCCGAAGAGGCAGTATCGTGGGTTCTTCGTGCCAACGACGTTTGCGACGACGGGGCCGGAGTGGAAGCCAACGCGGATGTTGACGCAGCCGAGGTCTGGCTCGTCCTCCTTGATCAGCGTGCTGTTGGCGGCCTTGACAGCGGCGACGGCGAAGCGGCCGACGCGCGCAGCGTGGTCCTTCTGCTCCTTCATCAGGTTTGTCACTGAGGGTGTGCAAAGTAGGGGGAAGAGGGCAGAGAGAAGTGTGGTGATGGTGAGGATGTTGGATGAGATGAAATAACTTGCGTGTCGTGACGATGAGATTCGTGAAAGCCAACACATACACACACAACACACACATAGACATGCACACACACACACACACACACACACACACACACACACACACACACACACACACACACACACACACACACACACACGCACGCACGCACTCCAGCTGACCTTTGCGCGGAACTTTGAGTCGACGAGGACGTTGAGGGACTTGAGGTCGCCGTGGATCAGGGGCGGATCGCTCGAGTGCAGGAAGCGGCAGCCAGAGACAACATCGAGCGTCTGGTGGTGGTGGTGGTGGTGGCGGAGCACGGATAGCGAGTGAGCACACAGTCATGATGCGATGACAAACATAAAGACATGCCCCGCTTGGTTGTCACACACACACACACACACACACGCACGCACATACACATACGCGCATATACACAAGCAATGCAATGACCCGGCCCCCCTCCTCACCAACACCACACACGTGCGCCATCTTACGAGGTAGTAGCGTGTCTCTCCGTCGAGCTCCATGGTTTCGTTGTGCAGGATGGAGTAGAGGGTGCCCAGGTCCATGTGCTCCATCACCATCATCGGCTCGCACCCCTTCATCATCACCGCCCCCATGACCGTTGTCACACACGGGTGGCGCAGCTTGGACAGCGTGCGCATCTCCTTGACAAAGTTCGCGCGCATACGGCGGACGGTGGCGCGGGTGGTGGTGTTGTGGATGAGACGGCTGAACAGCGAGCGGGAGCGTGAGCGGCCCGAGAGCTGCGTCGTGGACTGGCTGCGGTGGATGTGCTGGGCCGCGGCCTCGTCAAACAGCTGCAGGCAAGGGAAGAGGAGGTTGAGTGGGGGCAAGGAGAAGTGAGCAAGGCGTGTGAGACGGTGCCATGAAGGGTTTGGAGTGAGGCAGAGACAGGGTTGTGTTGGATGGTGACGAAGATCTGACGAATGGACGGACAGGCAGATAGACAGAAGAGACAGAGGGCAGATGAACGCATGCACATCCACATACTTTCAATCCTGTTCACTCACACACACATATACACACACATACACACATATACACACACGCACGCACACACATGCGCGCGCATACGCACACACACACACACACACACACACACACACACACACACACACACACACACACACACACACAAAAGCACACACACACACACACACGCACGCACGCACACACACACACATACACACACGCGTCCAAGCTCATCGCACCTCCATGATGTAGTTCATGGCGCGGAGTTCGCGCGTGCGTGTGGACTGCATCTGCGACGCCAGCCGCGACTTGGACTTGGACCGGCGCACACCGCGAGACGACCCGCTCATGTTGGAGCCAGCCGCGTTCGACCCGCGGGCTGCACGGATGCCGGCCATAATCTCGGGGCTCAGCACGCCCTGCTTGTCGCGTGTGGCACGGGAGGCGTGACGAGCACGTGAGTGTGCATCTGATGAGCCAACGCGCTTCACGGCGACGGCGGTGCCGCGGTATTCGCCCTTGACAACAACGCCGTATGTGCCGACGCCGAGGACCTCGACCGGGTCATCAAACTTGAGCTCGTAGGGGCGGATGTGCCAGAGGAGGTCGGACTTGTGCTGCTGGTGGCGCATGGCGAACCACACAATGACGACGACGGCGCCAACCACGGGGATGAGCACCGTCACAGCCAGTACGGCGATGGGCGCACACGCGCCACCAAAGTTGATGTACCCGCTGTCGCACTGGCACGTCCCACGCCGGGTAAGGCGGGAGTGCGTCGGACACGCAGGCTCGCAGGGCTGGCACAGACAGTCAAAGTCCTCACGGCAGTCGAGACCAGCGAGTGAGCAGCCGGAAGCGACGAGTTCAGGGGACTGCTTGTTGTATCCAAAGGGACACACGACGGCATCGATGAGGTTCTTCGTGCGTACACAGCGGAAGGAGCCGAGGTCGTCCGCAAACATCACGCCCAGCGACACCTAGTGAAGGTTCGTGGTGGCAGGTGGTGGTGAGAGGTGAGATGGTGGTGGTGGGAAGTGAGATGGTGGTGAGAACAGTGCAAGTGGCTCGTAGATGTATATCGTGACGCTGCACATACACACACACACACACGCACACACGCACACACACACACACACACACACACACACACACACACAGACACGATTGCTACCTGCAGGGCGCGTGTGGCGGTGTATGACTTTGGCGGCTGCCAGGCGGCGTAGCGGCCAGCAATGGCATACTCGGACGCGCTGTCGATGCTCAGGAGCGCATTCACCACAGCAGACTGCACCTGAGGTGGCGGTGAGGGGGATAGCGATGATGGTGATGGTGATAGCGGTGGTGGTGGTGGTGGTGGTGTGAGGGTCACTGCAGGATGATGGCACAAGAGCCGGGCACACAGCAATCACTTCTTACGGCGACAACGCGTGACATGAGCATGAACAGCACCGCGACGCAGAGGCGGGAATAACGACAATACGAGGAACACACCTCCCACGGGACGTTGGGGAGCACAGCAAGGGTCCATTCTGGGGAGAGGACGGATGAGGACGTGATGAAGGGGTAGACGTCACCCTCTGTGGTGATGACGTTCTCTGCATGTAGCACCTTGATCTTCTTCAGATCCAGGCCGCTGTTCTCAACATGGTCTGCCCTCGGCATCGTTGTTGTTGTTGTTGTTGTTGTTGTTGTTGTTGTTGTTGTTGTTGTTGTTGTTGTTGTTGTTGTTGTTGTTGTTGTTGTTGTGTGCGGGGGGGGGGGAAGAGGCAGGGCAATAGCGTGAGCACGTCATTTTGGCTGCGAACGAGTTTGCATTGCCAGGGAAGAAAGAGAACTGGAATGGGGAAGGCGACGGGGACAGCAAGAGACGGAGAGTAAGAAGCATACACACACAGACACACAGACACACAGACACACAGACACACAGGCACACAGACACACAGACACACCACACACACATACACACACACACACACACACACACACACACACACACACAGACACCACACATACACCACACACGGACCTTCGAGGACGCCGCTGGTGACGAAGCCGACGTCGCTGTTTCCCTCCAGGACCTGAGCAATCACCTCATCCTCGTCATTGGTAAACTTGATCTGTCGAAGGGAACAGGAAGCAAAGTTGACATTATGATTTAGTCGCACGAGTGTAAGAGGACGAAGATAGCAGAGGAGGTGTTGATATCACACACGCACACACGCACGCACGCACGCACGCACGCACGCACACACACACACACACACACACACACACACACACACACACACACGCACACATGCACACACACACACACACACACACGCACACACATGTACAGAGCTGCACACCTGCTGCGTGTCGATGAGAAAGTCGAGGCCTGCGTCGCGGAGCGTGCCCCACTGTGCCTGGAACCCGCCAAAGGTGATGAAGGACACGGCAGCGACTGTCTTGCCGGCAATATCAGGCGCGCTGTTGATGTCGTCGCGGTCGGCACGCGTGAAGATGACGGCGCCAAACTGACTCAGCTGCTCGCCTGAGGGAGGGCGGTGGTGGAGGAGGCGAATGGGTATGAGTGTGAGACTGAAGAGACGTAATACTGAATGCAAACAGCAACTAACAGATGACCACAGACCTACAGTTCCTCAGTTCCACAGGTCCACGGACCCACACACACACACACACACACACACACACACACACACACACACACACACACACAAACAAGCACACACAGACACACACACACACACACACACACACACACACACACACACTCACACACTTCACAAACAAGCACACACACATATACACATATACACACAGACACACACAGACACACACAGTCATACACAGGCACATACGCAGGGGTGCTCACGTACACACACACGCACACTCACACGCAATATGGATGTGACGCGCCCATCCCACGCTTTTCTACCGATGGAGAGGAGGGGTGTGTGCGCCAGACTATGTCCT